TCGGAAAAACAAGAAGAGGATTTCCTGTAATGTGATGAACAACTTCTGCTCTCGGTTTGAGTGATGATGTGACTGACATTTCTTCAACCACACTTTAAATAAACAACTATGTCTGTCTTAAAACTCATATTTCTGCTGAGTACTTGGAGCTTCACTGGTGAGTTGAAATGACTATTTTTACCCTTGTGTGTTTAACATCAGGAGAAGGAAATCTGCACATTTAGAAACATATTTTTTTGATAAATACTAAATATGGTGCCTTGCAAATATTTAAATTGCTTAAACTCTTGAACATTTTGTCTCTTTGCAACCCCGATTAAGTTACTTCAGTTGATTATTTTCATCAGATAAGAAAATTGGAAATTTATTTTTTTTTTTGTACATTTTTTAAAAAAGTGACTGTTCTTTTTTTTCATAAGAGCTGCATGCCGTTTATTTATGGAGTTTCTTGTCAGTTTCTTGATATGTTGATCAACATGTCACAGTGACCCAGTGTGAAATGTTGTCACTGTTCACACACGTGAACAGTTTTTTTTTTCCCCATAAAACTATTGTTAAGCTGAGTCCATAAGTTCTTAATATGGTTTATGTGAGGAAAAGGACATCACGTTATTGTTCTCTCATCTTCAGTGCCCCCTAGTGGAAGATTTGGCTGCATGTCGAGAATTATACAGCATAAAAATAATGGACTGCTTAAAATTTGAACTATTGTCCCGTTTATCTGGATCCCTTTCATCTAATCAGTCTATGAAACCTTTGAAAATCTTATTTGAACTCTTTAGTTGCTGTTTTACTGCACTTTGAACCACAGCCAAACTCTCTGGTTTTTTACAGCCTGTAACAGGTTTTTCCAGGATAATGTTGAGTCTAGATTGATCCATTTTCCTGACCAACCTCCCTGTTGCACAACATGATGCTGCCACCGGAATCAAAAGGCTTTAATTCCTAAAATCTCAATGAAAATATGAAAGGAATACAAATACTTTTGCAGGGCATCGTATACTTTGTATGTTAACAGGAAAGGTTTATTAAAATAATCCTTTCTATATTTGTAATGAGGTACTGCAAACCAAATAGAAATAAAGAAACTAAAATCAGTTTTGTGTCCATTCATGCTGGATAATATTTTTTCAATATGTCTATTGACTCTCAACTACATCTGTGAGAACACTGAAATATATTTATTTGCTTTTGACCTAATTTTTTTTCTCCTCAATCCAGTTACAGCAACAGAGCCATGGATGACACATTATCGACTAAAGAACAGCTCTGTGTGCCTCCATGTCAAGAAACCACCTCCATATAGAAATGCCCAATGGACATTTGATGGAAAATTTGTTGCTGATAAGGATTATATTGATGAAGACTATGCAGAGAATGGTTTTCAGCTCTGAAAACTTGACTTTGTGTATAAACAGACTGACTGAAAATGACACGGGCATCTTTAAGGCCTCTTACTTTTTCAACAATCAGAAAATCACCAAGTTATTGTACAAGGTAAGTTTAAGCTGTATTTTGGCTTTAAGTGTGAAAGTTGTATTTTTTATTTCTTTTCTTTCTAAATCTCATTCTTTTATCCATTTGTGTTTTGAGAACAGAGAAATAAATGTCAGTGTGTGGGTTGTGTTGCAGAAAGTAGCCAGCAGGGGGTGTCATTTATGAATCTGCTTGTTTTGGGTGTTTCAGGAATGGTTCCCACACCAGTGATGACTGTGACACCAGAAAATCATTCCAGTGTTTCAGCAGAATCATGTAATTTCACAGTGAACTGCTCCATCCAGGATGACTGGCTGGGGTCTGACTGTGATCAACATGGCTGCCGACCGTCTCAGAAGTCATTTAATAAGTTCAACATCACCATCCTCTTTGTCAACACAA